ATTGGCTTGTGGTTGAACTGTACTGCCGGCTCATGCGTGACTTACGCTAAAACTTCAAGTGAGTAGTTTGAAACGTAGTTGTTGCAGATGATTCTTGTTGATATGTATGTAGTTTTTTATCGCTGAACTATCCTCGGGTAGATGAGGCTCGTTAGCTGGGGACAGCCACTCTTCTAGGAGAGACAACTCCCAAATCAAACAACTGCTGCCTTGTAGTTTGTTCTTGGTTGGACAAAGGCTATGGAAGCAAATCCAAAAAGAAAAGCAGGCTGAAATCGGAGTCAATGGCCTCAATGGCGCATAACCAATTGACACGTATCCTTAATTGTAATGGAGAGGCCTGGTTGAGTCGGCAAAAAGCTCATGGTTGATAAATTCGAAAAAAAAGTCTCGAGTTTAAAACCCTCTGGCAGATAAGGCTCGATCCCTCCCAACACTAATAATTATGAACGAAGAAGAAGAAGAGAAGAAGCTGAATTATCTTCTATCAAACTTACATAGTATGTAACATATTTCATTGACAGATTTTTAAAAAAGTATTGTTTGTACATATATTTTATCATAACATATTTAACATTATTATACGTTGAGAAAGTCCATTTATTGAGATCGTATACAAAGATATTGGATTGAAAGAAACTGTATCTAAATGAAGAGAGGCAGCTCCTTCTGAATTTTGAATTAATACTTTAATAGACTCACTGTTCAAATACTAATGTCACACTCTTATAATTCTAAATACATATATGATAATCACACATTTATTTTCGGACAGAAATCAAATCAATGTTGAGTAATTCATGTTTAATTACTACTTTAAAGCTAATGAATCGTTTTTAGGCTTAGAAAATTATTTTTTTTAATATTCCTAACACACAAACTAGGAGTGTGTTGGATAGAGGCTCACTGGGCTATACTATAGACTATATAGTCAGTTGAATATGTATTTTAAGGAACCGAAAACGTCTTAAAACTCTCTTTAAATACTCTTTGAGAATTAATTAAAATATGTTAAAATTGACTAAAATCATCCCAAATTCTCTTTTATTTATTTATTTATTTTTAATTACTCGATTAATTAAATTTAGCAGTAAGATATTTTTGTCTAAAGATCAACTTTCATAAAGAATTTGTTCTGATATAGTTTGTCCTGATATAGTTTGTCCTAAGATATTTTGTCCGTGAGGTATACACTAGGGATATTTGTCAGATATAATTAATCGTGTTCTGTCACGTAAATACATATGCAACTTTATTAAGAAGTTTAATTTTTTAAGTTTAAATGTATAAAAATTTGTTTTAATTTCAGTTTTGTTTGAAGTGTGTGAAGCCTTTGCTTTAATAGGAGCTGTGAACGGCCTCTTGACGCTGATTATCGTTCTTGCCAATTCCTGTGTGCCGTATTTAAGAAGAAAATCTTACACAATATTACCAGTAATCTCCCTTGTTATAAGTTCCTCCACTGGTATGTAATTTCTGTGGTGTGCTTGTTTTTTTGTTTTTTTTGTTTTTTTTTACATCTATTTAATTTGTTTATTTTTAATATAAGTAGTTTTTTTCTTGTTAGCAATGTTTCAGCAGCAGTCGTACTGAAGTAAGTGTTACTGGGATACTGCAAAAATTTATGTCAAAAAATTGTTTAGTCACCCAATTTTAGCACATCAGACAAATTTGGTGAACTAAGGGTCTACACTTAAGGTAAAGAAAATGGGTGAGATCCAAATTTTAGTGACGAAAATGGAGGGTCTGGGAGTTGAAATTCGTCAAAATTACAAGACGGAATTTTCTCTTCTTAAGAATGCCAGAGTGTGGTTTTATGAAACACAAAAATTTTAAACGTGTGAACCATGAAACTGGCACATGTTTACATTAAATTTATATATATATATATATATATATATATATATATATATATAGGATATATATATATATATATAGGATATATATATATTTATGGTATAATATATATATATATATATATATATATATATATATATATATATATATATATATATATATATATTGAATATATTCATCTGTTGGTTGTTTCAGTTCTGTGTGTGGTTATCTCTGTGGCTGTGTGGGGAGCTGGCATACACAAGAGTGAGGACAATATTGGTGCATCATTCATCGTCACCGTAGTGGGGTCAGGCCTGCTGTTTGTTGGGGCCATATGTGTGTACCTCAGACCCAGAGACCCCATCAGCGAGGGATCAAATACAGGCCAGAATGTCAAAATGTTGAAAGTGAAGATTAAGAAAACAGATGTGTAAACTTAACATTAAACTTAAACATTAAACCTAACATTAAACCTTACATTAAACCTTACATTAAACCTAACATTAAACCTAACAATAAACCTAACAATAAACCTAACAATAAACCTAACATTAAACCTATCATTAAACCTTACATTAAACCTAACATTAAACCTAACAATAAACCTAACATTAAATCTAGCATTAAACCTAACATTAAACCTAACAATAAACCTAACATTAAATCTAGCCTTAAACCTAACATTAAACCTATGATTAAACCTAAAATTAAAACTAACATTAAAACTAACATTAAACCTAACATGAAACCTTACATTAAACCTTACATTAAACCTTACATTAAACCTAACATTAAATCTAACATTAAACCTAACATTAAACCTTACATTAAACAACATGAAACCTAACATTAAACCTAACATTAAACCTTACATTAAACCTAACATGAAACCTAACATTAAACCTAACATTAAACCTAACATTAAACCTTACATAAAACTTATCATTAAACCTAACATTAAACCAAAATAGAGTGGTGTACATTGTCTAGTTAACAAACCATAACTAGATTGCTTTTTAAATTGGTATTGTTGAGCATAATGTGTTTATTTGTGTTTTTTTTTTAATATCTGCTTTTTTTTATTAAAGTTAATGGAATGGTATATTATTCATACATTTTTACTTCAAGCTAAGTTCTAAATCTCGTTTTAAGTTGTGTTAAATTAAATTTATAGTGTGTATTGTTTATGCTATTTCACTAATGAAGACAATAAGCGATATAAGCTACTTTTTACCTTACAGTTTCAGTAGAACAAAATGTAAACTAGGAATGAATATTTGTTATTTAAATCGTGTGATATTTTGTTTTTATACTGTCAGCTGTCATACCTAAGCACATGTATCAATTTATAAGGAGGCAGACGCAGAAATGTGTAAAGGTTAACCATAGCCAAGGGTTATCTCATATATTAAAAAAAAAACTTGTCCATTACTATAAAAAAGTATATCTTCTGGTAGAAGTAGATCATTGGCTATATCTTTTAACTATGGTGCATTTTTAAGGCCGTGCAATTTAAAAAAAAAAAGGTTTGAAATCTATGTATTGAAACCAATAACAAATAATGAGTCTGTTTATTGTTTATAAACATTCCGTCCTACAGACACAACCTTTTATCGATAACAAAAATCTTCAAATAAGAATCATAGACATAGGTCTATGAATGCTATTTTTTATAAGTTTGCTAGAAAGTTGCAACTTTGAGCTAAGTGAAAAGCAATAAAAAGAATATGATTTTTAAAAATTACACAATTGTATTTTTAATAGTGTAGTTGAACTGATAGAATAGAGTTAACTATTTTTTCATTGCTTACTTTTATTTTATTGCTAGTCATTTAAAAACAAACTAAAATGATGTTTATAATTGTATTTGCATTTCATATTTTAATTTTTAAAAGAAAAAAAAGATCGCTTATTGTAGCTATATACAATGATCTTATCACTGTATTTAATTTTTTCTAATGTTTTGTATGACTCCTGTAAAAATGTTCATTTTAAATTTAAAATGTGTATCAATCATTTAATTATTGTTATATGGGTGTTCGCATATTATATCTTTTATGCTTTGTTGTCTGAAACTGTGTCTGGAATTTTCATGTATGCTTACCATTAGATATATTAATTGACCCCCACACACGTATAAAGACCACCAGACACATATACAGACCAGTACCCACATGTACAAATCACACACATTCAGATACCAGCACACACATATACAGTTCACCACACATACACATACAGGCCACACACATTCACAGACCATCACACACATACACATACCACCACACATACACATACAGGCCACACACATTCAGATACCAGCACACACATACACATACCACCATACCCATGTTGCACAGACTACCACACACAAATACAGTTCAACACCCACATATATAGCTCACTACACACATGTACAGACCACTTATACATAACTTATACACAGACCACCACACACATCTACATACCACATGACATACACAGACCACCACACACATCTACATACCACCTTACATATACACAGACCACCGCACACATTTACATACCACCTGATATATACACAGACAACCGCACACATTTACAGACCACCTTACATATACACAGACCACCACACACATGTACAGACCACCTTACATATACACAGACCACCACGCACATTTGCATACCACCTTACATATACACAGACCACCACACACATCTACATACCACCTTACATATACACACCACCTTACATATACACGTACCACAACACACATGTACAGAACACCACACTCAAGTACACGCTAATAATTTAAAAAAACCACATATTAGCATATCACACATATCCATCTAACGAACACCTTGCTTATCGCATTGTGTTTAGTGGCTTAACAAAATTCCCATTACACGTTACGACACCATTTTAGCCTCAGTTGTCTACAGTACGCAACATTGCTGAGCTTATCGCTGGTTGTGGTACACTTGCTACCCCTGTACTTGTATCTGTTCAACATGACTGTACCTTGGGACACTCTATGTAAATGTAATACAGTTGGCATTTAGATTTTAGGGATAGCTCATGCACTGTATGATAACGTGGATAGTGGGAATATGTGTAGTGGTGTGTGTGTGACTATGACCTATGTGGGGTGGGGAGTGGGTGGAAGTATTAAATAGAATTACACATTTATATTTCATTAAAAAAAAAAAACAAATTCTCTAAAAATGTGGTTATAACCATAAGGACAATAATTAGGTAAGGGGAGTTAATTTTTTGGACACATATTTGAAGTAACTGGTCCTGTATTGTGTAGGCAAGATGATGATGTGTGAGATTAGCCTGACGTCACAAGCATGTTAATCCATTCTTTAACCAGTAATTACACACAAATCCCAACATGCTGAACCTGATACTTTATAAAACAATAATTGTTCAAACTTATGCTTTCATGTGTTTGTCTACACCTTTCGTTTTTTTTTTTGACAATTTTACGTAAATGTCCAAACTTAATTTTTATTTTACAAAGATCTGGGTTTATGAAAGTTGTTTATACATACCACTGTAATGTGTTATTATGCATTTAAATAATGTCGAATTGCCTTATTTTAAAAAAAAAAGTTTTTAAATTTAATATTAATAACCATTATGCATTATATTTTAAAATTAAAAATATTTTTTTTTTGTGTATCTTGTGTTTTAATTTTAAAAACAACTATTTAGTGTAAATATTTGATAACGGAATTTATAGACTTTACATATAAAACAACTTTGGCGGTAAGACAGAACTTCTACATTTGCATTAAAAATATATTACATATAAAACAACTTGTGCAGTAAACATTGTATTTAACAAAATTGGCAGTACAACATCTATTGAACTACATTGGAAGTAAGACATATGTTACATAAAATTGGCATTAAAACATTACATATTGAAAAACATTGGCAGTAAAAAAATGGTCGTAAAACATTATATATTGAACAATATGGGCATTAAAACATTACCTATCGAACAATATTGGCAGTAAAACGTTATGAATTGAACAGCATTGGCAGTGTAAACATTACCTATCGAACAAAATTGGCAGTAAAACATTAATCATTGAACAGCAATGGCAGTTTAAACAGTATATATCGGATACAAATTTGAAAGACTCATCAACGATACACATAACTTTTTTGAAAGTGGACAGCATAAACAAAATAGTCCCAATGAAGTCGTGAGCTCTAAATGTTTATCTTACAAAAGTTGCTCGAATCGTTATCCACACCAGTATGTTTGTCTAGTCTATCTCGCCATCAAAACACCTACCATTCCGCTAGACCAGTGGTTCTTAACCTTTTTGGGGTACCGAACCCCACCAGGTTTATATGCCTATTCAACGAACCCTTCTTATTAGTATTATCGTCCACACTGACAAAATCTGAACGTGAATCATAAGTCGGGTGTGGGTCTTGGCCTCCACTGAAACCCTGAGACTGACTTACCGAACCCCTGGGGTACGTTCGAACCCAGGTTAAGAACCATTGTTCTGGAGTACCCAACCAATTCACTTAGGGACACATTGATGCGTGCTTTAAAAAAAAATCACAGGCAAACATGAATCTTGAGATTAGTTTCTTTGTAACGCTATAGGTACTTTTAGTTTCAAATTGAGTTATGGGGAATTTACCCGATAATTGGTTTTCTTATCGGATTTTGTAGGTATGGGACAGAAGAGTAACTGTCCCTGATGTTCTTTGTGTCAAAATTATTTATTAAAAGGTTTATGCTTTTGGTGAGTAAAATAATAAATTATATAAGGGTCTCATAATACCCGTAAAGTAATTTTTAGAAGAAATATCTTGGTGGAAAATGAAGGGGTCGACACATTATGGGGTTCCTTTTTATTTATTTATTCAGTAAATAATCACATTCAAGTTATTTTAAGTAATCTGTTGAGTTAATTTTTAGAATAATACGTTTAAGTTTTGACGTTTCCGAAATAAGATAAAGGTCTAAAAAATGAAGACTGATCTTAATTAATTTTCTAATATAGAAATATATGTTAGGGGAATTTTTCAGTTAATTATTTAGTAAAAGAAGAAATCGCTTATTTTTGTTTCCTAAATTGTAATATATTGATTTAGATATTCCCGAAGGATGGAGTTTTCCAGAGTAGTTCTCTTTGTGTCTGTTTAGATCAGGGGTCTCCAAACTACGGCCCGCGGGCCGGATGCGGCCCGCGAAGTCCTATCATCCGGCCCGCGGAGATTTTTTTATCCAAGGAAAAATCGTTTCTTGGTGATGGCTAAAGAACTTTGCCCAGAAAAATCAAAGACATGCCTGGAAGAAACTGGCCCCCGAACTGAAATGTGATAGTTAATGCGGCCCTCGGACTGAAAAGTTTGGAGACCCCTGGTTTAGATGATAATCATGACCTTACACCTGATTGGTCTTCTGTCTCCGGGTTGGCAAAATGACCGGCCGTGCCGGGGACTCTGGAAGTCTTGTAGCGGTGCAGGCTGCAACGCCATGGACTCGACAAGCAGAGTTTCTTCCAGGCATCTCTTCGGGGGGGCAAAGCCCCCTCGAAAATTTTTTACCGCCCCCCCGAACGAAATGAAATTTATATAATTTATATAGAAAATATATACTTTTAACAGTGTCCGCCCCCCCGAAGAAAGTTTACCGCCCCCCCGAAGATTTCAAGTGCCCCCCCGGAGAAAAAAGTCTGGAAGAAACACTGTCGACAAGTGAGTTTCTTTAGTTCGAATCCCAGCGGCAGATAATTTTCTAATGAAGGTATGTTTGTATTGTGTCAATTAATATTAGTGTACATTAAAAGAGACAAAGTAATTATTCCTTGCATTTTGCCAAATATTTTTCTAAAGATTATAACTACTATCTTCGACATTACATATAGTCGATATATTCGTTTAGTACATACACAAGATAAGATAGTTTACTTGTTACTGTGGTACATAGTAATAATCAAAACAATTATGTGCATATTAATATGATATCAATTCACATTGTAAAATAATTTTCAGTTACATTTTATGAGCAATACACTTTTTAAAAAAACCCAAAAAACACAGCACTTATTTCAACAACAATTCCAATACATTATAATACCACTCCCCAAAACACATTTAAATAACATTCTATAACCAGTTTCTTTTCAACACATCTGTCTACTTATCAAACACACCCCGCAAGCTAAAGTAAACATTCTAAAAGAAAAAAAAACAACTTGGCACTCACCGGCTATTCAAACTAAAAAGCTTGGCGTTTTTTAGCCCAATTTTTTTTGAAAGAATCAATGCCCGTAGTAGTTACGCAATGTCTTGGAGATTACGAAATGACATGACGGCACCCGAATGAATCTAATTATTTTTAGGTAAGTGTCTAATGCTTGATATACTTATTTAATAAAATTATTTAACGCAGAAAAAAAGTTGAGGAATTACTTTTACCTGTAGGTAAGTGTCTAATGGTTGATATACTTATTTATTAAAATTATTTTTTTTAAAAAGGTAAACAAAATTACTTGTACCTTCAGGTAAGTGTCGAATGTTTGATATATTAATGTGTAAAATTATAACGGCATATGACTAATCTTAAAACAACAATAGCTCTCTTATATTGATCTCGACGTGCATGAGTCAACACTCATCTCTGATTCATACCCGACTCACGTTAGGGAAAGTAAAGGCGGCTAAGTATAGTGCTGGCCACACTATCTCTTCATATGCCGAGGTCACAGAAACAAGTGAACTCTACTTCAATTGCCCTATAGACCGTCTTGTTTGAAAAGGGAACTTTAATTTTTTTTTTACTTCATCCCTTCACATACCTAGGTTATTTGTAACAAGTGAACGCACAGATTCGACAGATTACCAACATGTTATATAGTGGTCGAAAGACTTTCTTTTAAAGAATACGATAGTATTTTGACATTTTTTTTTTAAATTTAAAAAATATTAGCGTTCGTTATGACGTTTAAAGAAAATCGTTGTTCTGCTAACTTTAGTCAAGTCTTATTTCAGTGTAAAACTGTTAAAATAGCAAATAAATCTACTTTCATCTTGCTTAAAAAAATTATAAAAATAGCAATCGACATGCTGCTTTGTGTACCTCGACCTAATTCTAACACCGTCATGACCGCCTGTCAATAACTCCTGGCAATGCACGCCCTGTTTGCACTGAGCTTGTCACATGACTACACGTGCACTGTGTCACCTGACCCAAAGGTGACACACATACACATACGTGTTCAGTGAAGCGAAGCTGTGAAGGAAGATCTGGTGCGCATTATTTGGCTTGCTGTAAGTCTGAGTGTACTTGTGTCGAAATACGTTTCAAATGATGTATACATTTTTCATGTAGCTTATTCGTCTCAGCGTTAACATTTTGTTAACTTTAAATAAGGTTAACACAGTAAGCTAAAATATGTATAATTTCATGTAGTAATTTAGATTTTAGAAATGTTTTTGTGTGCATATATGCTAATCTATAATTTTAAAAGCATATTATGTGTATATAATAACGTATTAAAGTGTATACACATAAAAATATTATTTGAATATATTTCACGGTCTACTTATTCTAATTTAATTGGTTTATGGTTGGTGATACTATCGTTACAAACATGAATTAACATATTTATGAAGATAGTTATGTGATTGATATTTCATTGGATTTGCATTCAGATACATTTTCTTTATCGCTAGTTTTATTAAAGGTAAGGAACAATTATAAATATGTGTATTTTAAATTCAATAATCATAATATGAGATATTGCTAGAACCATACCTGACTTTTACCCACGCAGTTAGGTTGTTCTGTGTGTAATGTCGTGTCTCGTGTTTCAACTGGTTATGTTGATTTGATGAAAGAAAAAATAATTCTCTCTAATTAAATAAAGTATCAAAATTGGCATTGGAATAATTGTTGGTAGTTTGACTTTATAAATAGAAGTTTCTTTAAAAAAAAACCACGTAATAATAGACCAATTTAGGAAGCTTACTTATATGACCGTTCACATTAAAGAAAATCGATGACCCAAATCGAGACACATCGTTGTACTATGAGATGCTTACTGTTTATCTTTTGTGACCAAATGTCAATTTGGTTTAAAAATTTAGATTTAATTTTTTTTAATTTTCATTTACTCATAGTAAAAACTCTCTCTAAATCCCAACCTCAACACACCAAAACTTACTCCTCTTTTGTGACCAACTCCACTTTTACATCCTATTCGAGAAGCAACATAATAAAAATTGGAAAACATTTAGAAAATTAATGTAAATTGTAGTTTTAGCAAAATATGTAGAGCTAAATTCCTGACGATAAATATCAGTGATAATGGGCTCGATTTAAGAAAATAAAAATACCCTTGCTCACTTTTTAATGCGCAAATTTTCCGTTGTGCATCTCTCCGGTCACCATTAGAGTACAGCGTATACATTAACTTCTAAAATTATACAACATCCTTACTAAAACCAGTGGCGTAGCGAGGTCGGGTATCACCCGGTGCGGCACTTAATGGTGTCACCCCCTCCCCAGAGGCGTAGCGACTCTTCCCGGGGACAAACTTTCCATTTTCGATTTGCACCCTCCCCACGAACTTTCGATTTGCACCCCCCCC